GGCAAAAAAATGGGAAGATGGAATCATCTGCCTGATTTTGTACTTCTCTAGATGCTGTGTTATATATTTGGATCTCTCCTGTCTGAAGATAGCAAAAAGATAACAAAACTGGATTTTCCTAGTTTTCCCCCCTCTCCTTCTTTTTAGTGCAAATTTTGGGGTCTGCAACTGCAAATYGTGAGATTCTCCTATCTTTCACTGCTCATCAATGGTATTCAGAATGATATCTGTGAAAAGGGTAAGGATATCTTATGTTACACCTAGCTTTTGCTCTTGGATTTTAGAATTACTGGAGAAAGATGATTTTACTTTCATCCCAGTTCCTGATATGAGAGCTACCTGCTGAGGTTTCTTGACAGAGTTTAAACATCAGAKTACATACCGGCACAAAACACACAATGCCACCTTGCCATTCCCTCCTCCCCACCACATGTCTTTCAGAATATTAAACATAAATCAGCCAAGTGTGGGATCAAGCCCAAGCYTTCTAGATAGACCATGTTTAAATTCTGCRTAACTCAAACTCCAGCRGCTGGTCTTGATTGCTGTGAAACCTCTCTTCAAGGTTCTGAGCTTATTAAGACAATCAGAAAAGAGAGCTTGACATTCAAGAATCAAATCCATTACTCTCTGCTAATTGGAACGTTGTAACATTGGAAAAGAATACATCATAGTTACCAGTGGTGATACATAGCAATGTGCAGTGCATATGATTTAAAAAGCAAAGYAACAATACAGAAATTTGTAACTACATTAAAATATATCTTTTTCAAGACCAAATGAACASAGAAAACAAAGTAGTATACTCAAGCATTTATTTATCATCTAAATGTTATTTTTATTTATTTGCTTACGCTGCACAAACATTCAGTATAACCCATGTAAAAACAGTGAACTGATACTTATTTCCTGATAAACGCAAGTAATAATATTAGGCTCATGCCACTTTCAGTATTATTCCCTGCAATGGTGCCATGTGCAAGTATAGCAAAAAAGTTTTGCCTTATAGTTATTATAATATAGCAACTAAAAATTAATAAAGCCTCTTTGTGAGTCAGCAATTCAACCTCAAGAGACGAAAAGGTTTTGCTCCAAATATTTCTAAATGGAAATATTTTTGGAAGACAAAAATCAAAACAATCTAATTTTATCACTATTTCTCCATACATTTTTCTTTTACTGACACACAATTTTGGGAAGTTCTGTTCTCAAACTCTTTTCTTTCACATCACAAAATATTTAACAAAGTAGAAATTAAAATACTCCATACTAGAATGTTGTCATTTAATAATAACTGAGATGAAGATTTTTTTTCACCTTGCTATTATCAGTAGGGAGCCACCTTTTAATTTCCTGACAGACAAAATATATTTCCAGCAATACCTGCATTGATGCTCCTTCCACCCTTGCAACACAAGCAACTCTGTCCAGGAAAGTCACAGTTACAGGAACAGCAACAAAGAAACCTTTTAWAAAGGCTTTTATGYATTTCTTCCCCAAACCCTGAGCCTGTGCCATAATCTGAAAAACATTAAGGATAGAAAAAAAATGTTGTTATAAAACAAATTTGAAGTAACATCAACATGCAGCACTTCAACATGGAACAATTATGAACAAATTTATTATCTGTTAAAGTCTCGCAATATCTAGGATGAAAAGAAATGAGTGTGCATGAGAACAGAAAAAAACCCAAACCAACAAACTAGAAAACTTCATCAGAATTTAAATGCCTATTCTAGAGAACTGACCTTGATAACTGACATTTACCCTTTAGCTAATTTGAACATTTCTTGTGATCCTGTGCTAGCAGAAGTATTTGACAAAAATTACTCARTGTAGCAGGTAAGCAAGAAGCAAAGTGATATAACCAGACAAAATTTAATAATGCATTTTGGAAAAAAAATTGCAAATAATTTTGCCTCTATACACTGGTAATTATTAATTTCTCACCCCCAAAAGTGGATTGTGCTAAGAAAATAAAAGTTACATGCAACACATTACCTTTTCCTTAATAAATACTTCCACAAATGAAAATGCATAAATGCGTAATTTCCACACTTGTGGTAACTGCAAACATAAAAACTACTGAAATTGTCACATATATCACAGGGACAGCCCACAATACAGTGACTCCTGGTTCACCGCTACGTCACAAAGTTAAAAGCATGTTGGCAGACTAGGCAGCTACATAATGACACCTGGGATGATTCCACTCCAACTCTCCCATCTATTTATTTAGCCCTGAACCAGTGAACACACTTGGAAAATACTTAMAAAGTGCACTGAAATACAAGCTGTTTGACTGTATTAGTCATACCTCTGAAAACCAAGCTGAATATCCAGGTACCGCTGCAAAGACACAAGACTAATT